TACGCACAATTTAAGAACAAATCTGTGCGTACGAACGGTTCTTGCATGAGGCCCATTGTCTTTATTGGATATTATCACCATTAACAAATGCAAAGTAGAAAATTGTGTCCAGTCCACAGAACTGGGGGGTTGAACAGAAGTAAAGTTTTGTCCAGCTTGGTGTGGATTTAGCCAGAGCTTTGTGGGTCCAGATTATCTCGGGCGATTCAGCCAAACAGACTCTCACCTGACCTTCTAAATCTGCTTATCTGCAGGACCCCATTGTTGCRCTGAAGGCCCGTCATAATGGCTGGTTTAGTCATCTTAGGCAGTCGACGTCCCCAGACTCCATCGATATGTGGCGACTATCCAGAAGCCAACTGCTCAACAATGGAGACAATATTTTCCTCTGTAGAGAAGCGTACTTTGTTTTGAGAAGTGCAGGAAGAATATTGCCTTTAACATTTTGAACAAAACTACAAAAACTCTGCGTTTTTATTGTACTGATGTAACTTGCTTTGCGCGTGTCGGGGAGTTGGTTTTAGAGGACATCGTCCCCCCTCTCCCACCCCTCTCCTCTGTCTCCCTGGTGTCTTCCTGTTGCCTCGAGGCTGAGGTTGTGGTTGTGATTGAGTGTGGGAGAGACACCCCTTCCCTCATCAGCAGTCTGTTACAGACAAGGACACACAGTTTGACTGCAGACACATCTACCCTCCAGCACAAGTCCTGGTTTCTGTGCCTTGAATCATGAGCCGCTGCTCTTTAAGGGCACGTTAATGCATACACAAGTTTTCAAACGAGTTCCTTTAGATTCTTCTGTTATCTCACAACAAAAAAGCTTTTTATTATGTTTTTAACAATGTTAATCAAAAGTAGTCTTTGTTTTTCCTTTCCTGGTTGCTTGTTTTRGATTTAGTTACCCATCACAGTAGGGTAATACTTTGTAAGTGACCACATTTCAAGCATCTTTTTATCCTAATATTTCCATCTGTTTAACTAGGCAATCCACATTAAAATAACACTTAAAACCATTTTGCYCTATCTTCATAGTTGAAAAACTGCTAACAGCTCATATTTTTTGCTTGATATAAAACCAAAACAATCAATTATAAAGATTGCTGAAGCATCAGTTATGCAATGAACTCATCAAAGTGCTGGATGTAGTTTCTCCAGTTCCCTAAATAGACATAACTGCTTTTCTTTCCTAATTACTTCTCATCTATAGTCCCACCCCCCCCACAGGCATCGTTGAGCAGCAGGATCAGGTTACCAAGACAACAGCTATGTTTATTTCCACCGAAAAGATTTAGAGAATGGGGTCCAAGAATGGTGTTCATGATTTTTTTAAACGTGCTGTGTTGACTTTTGAAACCACATCGCAGTTTGAACAGAGAATGACCCAAATAAACATTGTTGTTTTTTTTTTTGCGTTGGGGCCCAATCTAAAATAATTACTACCAAGTTGAAAAAAAAACTGAAGAAATGTCAGACAACATTATTTTATCCTTTGTTCTTTGGTTCCAYTGAACATTTGCAAATCTACACAGCTTGAATGAGAAAAATCACATTTTCAGATAATATCCTCAATATTGCATAAAGCATAGAAACCCTAAGGCTTTAATTTTATATACAAAGTAAACAAAAAGTGGGTTGGAGTACACTTATTTACAACTCAGTGAGGAGGACGTCGGTCTCTCCTCGACAGAAGGGACTGAAGAATTTTGACATCATTACCAAACTGTCAGCACGCCRTGGTAAGGAGAGCTGGAAAATGTTTTGAGAGAAGCTGCTTGGTGTGATGGGGTGTGTTGTGGTCTGCCTTTAACACAATCAACTAGAATGGAAGTTTTCTGCAGGAACAAAAAAACAATAATATTTTTTTCCCCAGTGCTTTCGGCATATTCAAGCTGCTAAAACACCACAAGATGTGCAGCCCCTCATAAAAATCCCCTCCATTTAAAAGGGGACATATCAAGGAGAATCATGTTTTTTAGCCAATAAATACATTTTATTGTGTACTTGGAGTCTCTAGGAGTGCAGAAAAGTTGAATTTAGTCTCTCTCATTGCTGCGTAGATACTGTATTTATATTTTTCAACACGTCCAGTTTTCTCTATGTTCTATGACGTTTTCTGAACTATTGCTTCACAGTTTTTGCGACAGAACTGCTAAATAAGGTTTGAAACTACTTTTGTCGTTTTCATTCCCCTCGACATGGGTCAGACTCCAACATGTAAGTCTGGATGGACAAGCTTTACATTATTGACATATTTTAATAATTTGTAAATAAAGTTTCTGCGCTGCTATATATTCTTAAACTCCTCTATCAAACTAGAACGGACTGCTCTGGAGACAGCCTCAAAACGAGYTGATCTGAGAAACACCTCAGAAAAGGAGTATTGCAGTTCCACTTTATATAGACCTCAACTGAATGATTTAAATGTGAAAAAGAAGGATTTAAAAGCACATCTTTGAAGTCATTTGACAGAAAGTAATTGTGAATATCCTTGGTTTGCATAATCATTTGAATATTTTTGTAACATCGTGTTTCAGCTCTCTTGATAAGTGCCAGCAGGACTCGAACTGTTAGAATCATGTCAAATGTGTTATTTCCACACCATTTACGCCCACGTTATTAGTGTTTTATTTTAATAAAACATCTCAGCTGCTGCCTAGTGCTTGCATGATTTGTTTGAAACACTTTTTTCTTCTTCTGGCTTTTATAACTACTATCACCCCTGTGGAAGCGTGGTGGTCGCAGCCACTGTATTGATTTGTTGTGACTGTATGAAAAGCAGGCATCCATCAGGACACAACAGCCTCACGTATCACGGTTTCATTTGCAGCATCACAGGAGGTGGCTCGAAGAAAAATGATGGGGAGAAGAAGAAGGAGGATGTTCTTAACATATTTTCTGTGGCCTCTGGTCATCTGTATGAACGTTTTCTGAGGTCAGACACTTTAATGGTTGTCTGTTTTTTTATTTTTCTGGTTCTGGATGACAAAATAATAGTTCAGATCTAAAAGGTCTGATTTAAAATCTTTGTCTATCTTCTTTTCAGAATAATGATGCTTTCTGTTCTGCGGCACACAAACACACCTGTCAAATTCTGGTTCCTCAAGAATTACCTCTCCCCTTCATTCAAAGTATGTTTTTTTTTTTTTCACGATAAATTCTAATAATAAAACTGTTTGTTTTGCTCTAAACTTTTGCCTTTTTTTGGGGGGTGGGGTCAGGAGACCATCTCTCACATGGCCGAGTCATACGGCTTTCAGTATGAGCTGGTTCAGTACAAGTGGCCCCGCTGGCTCCACCAGCAGACCGAGAAGCAGCGGATTATCTGGGGATACAAGATCCTATTCCTGGATGTTCTGTTCCCATTGGCTGTGGACAAGATCATTTTTGTGGACGCCGACCAGGTAAGGCAGAAGTGTCAAACTCATTTTCGCCRAGGGCCACGAGTATTATGGTGGCCCTCAAAAAACATCACCTCGTTTCATTACTACAGCTGAGTACCACTAATGGACAATAACTGAGCTGTACGTGGTATTTTGTGTATAGAAACAGTGTTTTACCATGTCCTCTTATAAACACTGAAAAGTACGACTGACTACATGAACTCTTAAAAGTAAGAGTTTTACTTCATTGAGCTGTATTACTGGATTGGACATCATTTATTGTGGCTATAGCTAGTGACGCGCACCCATAGGCGCCATTACTATGCATKCATGTCAATGAAACAATACAGTTTCAATGAGGCATGTGCATCATCAATCTGTCACAAAAATATTCATAGTGCTCTTATTTCTTATCTGATTTCTATAAAATATGGTTTAAGTTAAAGCTGAGAAATTTGCCAATGTTGTGATATGTAAAAATATGTATTTTCCCAAKAGATAAATCTATAAGCAGTCTGGGAACCTTTCATTGTAGTTTTTTGCTAATGCATTTACTGTAGAAGTCTCTTTTCGCCACCTAAAACTAAATGACGACACATGATACGTCATACGCAGTATTGAGATCCAATGATAATTGTGACTTTCAATCAAAATTTGAAATCTGAAACGATTGCACATAAATTAGGAAACTGAAGAATGGAATTACAAGCTCCATCCACTTCAATATATAGTATATAAAATTAAATAAATAATTTAATATATATAAAAATTGAGGACAATAAACATTATTTGTTTCCTAGTTCTCAATTCGCACCGAAGTGACTGAACAAAAATTCTTACAGCTGATTATAAAATAAATGTGGTTGGCCCCTCCGCCTCTTAGGAAATGTATGGAGGGGGAAAAAGTTACTTATTTTTTTACTCTGCGATGAGTGTTTTTCAACCCTGGTCCTTGAGGCACACTGCCCTGCATGTTTTAGAAGTTTTCCTGCTTCAACACAGCTGATTCAGATGATTGCCGTTCAGCAAAATCCTGTTAATCAGTTATCAGTTGAAATCAGCTGTGTTGAAGCAGGGAAACATCTAAAGCATGCAGGGCAGTGTACCTCAAGGACCAGGGTTGAAAAACACTGTGGGACATAATATATACTGACTGGTCAGAACACCAGTACCAGTACCAGTACCAGTACCATTAATAAAGAGCTACACTGTTCAGCTAGTAGTAAAGGTAATTTTACAGTTGTACTTTGTTTTTACAACCTCCCACACTATTATCCTAACAATATTAATAAAAAGGTAATAATTTGTTGAAATAGCAAATTTGTCTTTGAGTGGGTTTACCTGACATAAGGTTGTCAAAACCAAGCTAGCATAACTGACCTACTTCCTGCATCTCCGCCATTTAAAAAAAATATGTGAAATGTGATACCCTTTGATCTTGTGATCTTGTTGTCATAGTGTTGACAATTTACGGCAAAACATTGTGTCCCTTTTTGATATTCCTTGCGTGACCGTCTGCTGCATCTCTTTTTTACGACCATGTTCCTGAGTCCTGACTCAATGCACAGCAAAGGCACCACGATCAGTCAGGTGATGTCCAATCCAGTAATACAGATTAATGTGTTACTCACTGTTGAGTTGTGGTGAGTAGCTGCCTTTCTGACAGGGAATTCCCTGTTCCGATAGAAATTTACGATTTGTAAGTAGGAGATTCCCACTTCCCAGTACAACTGGACCTTAGCAAAGGTAGCTGGTGAAAATGCAGCCAAATGGAGATTTTACTCAGCAAACTATGCTAGCTGATTGCCACTGCTGAACTCTGTTCACCTCCACCTAGTGGTGGTATGCTGTCATTTTGCAGGTAAAATCATTGACATGGCTTATGGTAGAAAAGTTTCTGGTCAATGCTGACTTTAAAGCAGCTTATTTTAAGACATTAATGCATCTTTGAAGCTGTTGGGGGCCACATAAAGTGCCGTGGCAGGCCACATCTGGCCCGTGGGCCTTTAGTTTGGCACGTGAGTTAAGGGCTCAACCTAAACGGACAGAAAAAAACTGCTTGAATCTTAGTCTGAACTTAACAAACTCCTTTGTCTCTCGCAGATAGTGCGGGCTGATTTGAAAGAGCTGAAGGATTTAGACTTGGAGGGTGCTCCTTATGGCTACACACCGTTTTGTGACAGCCGCAGAGAGATGGAAGGCTACCGCTTCTGGAAAACTGGCTACTGGGCCTCACATCTTGGACACAGGAAATATCATATCAGGTATGAAAACGTTTTATCTTCTAGATTATATTTAGTAATTTTAGAGAAATATTCAGCCAAATTTCATGTGTATGTTTTTTTTATATATAGATAGTTATACTCTTTAATTTTTTCTTTGTGAATATTACAGCTGGTCAGGCAGATGAAAGGACAGAGTTGAACATCCTTTCAGAACAAAAAAAATCATCTTTCTGTATATTTTCCAACAGAATCTTTCACTCTGAAGCTGCAAGTGTCTCGTCTACAATTACAGTCCACAGAGAATTCAACTCAAACAGACTTTCTTTCCATTAGCTGGTTTGACAAAACCAAAGACTCCAATCAGAGATAATAGGTGGTGTGATGATGGTTTTCAGCCTTCTTATTTACTCAGTCTGCGCTGTTCAGGCTCTGCGCTCATAAAAAAGAGAGTAATTTGATGTGTTGTTTGGGATTTTTTCTTACAATATACTGCAGAACTATCATAACACCTGCCCCAGTCAACCAGAGGTACTGTAGTTATAGTAGAGATCTGAGAGGAATAAAGAACTGATTTTTAGCAGAAAGCAACTTTTCTGCAAATAAACCAGGAGACAGGTTTGTTCCAGCTGCACGCTGCAGCTCTTAAACCCTAAATCTGACACATTTAAATATCATTTTTAAAGAAATATATTGTCTCTACTAAATAAGCTGGTCTTATTTTTTGTAAATATTAGTTTAATGATACAAGACCAGCAGTGTAAGAAAAAATTAACCACAAACCTAGACCAAACTAGTATATTTGTGTATTTTCTGCATCACTGATTTAATGCTCATTGGTTTACTTAGCAAAGCAACATTTTGGTTTACTGCACAACTTTATGAAGCTGCATTAACAAACAGCTCAGTAAGTTTGAAAATGCAAACCTCAGCTGACAATCTGCATCTCTGATGTCCTCAGTCAGTGTTTGACTTTTCTTTAGAGGGTGAGAAATAAAAGGTTTTGATTGGACGGGGCAAAGGTTTTCATCATAGCTGTGGTTTTTGAAGGATTGTTTCTTTAAGTGAAGCCTCACTTTCTAAATGTGTTTCCCTAAAACTTGGACCCAAACCTCTCTCAAAGCAGCTCACACGTTTCCAAATGCTTAATTTGTGGCGATTATTTTATAATGTTCAAAAATCAAATCCCTTTAATGAAATAGATCATTGACATAAGAATAAAACTGCACTAAAAATAACTCCTTTTGCATACTAATGTGTTTTTTTCCCCTCTGAGGCAGTAAAATAGTCCCTGACAAATTTAAWATAACATTTATTATGTGACTAAATTTAGTTTATACATCTGTATTATACAGCGAAACCTACAGATACTGTGAATCTGCATTCATTGTATGAGTTTGTCTTTCCTTTGTTTCCCACAGCGCTCTGTATGTGGTAGATTTAAAGAAATTCCGTAAAATCGCAGCCGGAGACAGATTGCGGGGTCAGTACCAAGCCTTGAGCCAAGACCCAAACAGTCTGTCAAACTTGGACCAGGTCCGTACTTTGCAGATAACACTGCTGCCTTTACTGCTAAATAAGATTTGACATTTGTATGAGCTTCATGAGGTTGCTTTGTTTTCTGTTTAGGACCTTCCCAACAACATGATCCACCAGGTGGCCATCAAGTCTCTCCCTCAGGAGTGGCTGTGGTGCGAGACGTGGTGCGACGACGCCTCGAAAGTCACAGCTAAGACTATAGACCTGGTGTGTATTTTTTTAAATTTATTCATTTATTCATTTCATTAAAAAACACTTCATATAATAAAACAATACAAATAAAATAAAAGGCAGCAGAAGAAGAAAAAATTCTTATATCTGCTCCTTTTTAAAAAATATTTTTCAAACAATAATAAACAAAATAACATGCTAAGCAATAGCCAACATGGTTTCCGCACGTCAAGGTCAACCATGTCTGCGTTAATTTTATTCACTGAACAAATACGTGCTGCTTTGAACAAAGGTCAAGTAACTGGTGCTGTATATATTGATTTTCGTAAAGCGTTTGACACAGTTGATCATTATACTCTCTTACAAAAGTTGATTTCTTTTCAACTTTCATCATCTGCAATACAAATGTTTTCCTCTTATTTGACTGATAGGTGTCAGGTTGTGAAACATGGAAGCTCTGTGTCCGGGTCTCTGCCCGTTCCGTGGGAGTTCCGCAGGGTAGCATATTGGGCCCATTGCTTTTCCTATTATACATAAATGACCTTCCAAAAATATTGAAGTATTCAAATATTTTAATGTATGCTGATGAAACTGTTCTTTTTTTGTCTGATTTCAATATTGAATCTGTTAATAGTCAGTTACAAGCAGATCTTCAGACATTTCATGGTTGGCTTCAAGATAATCTTTTGTCAATTAATGTTAAAAAACCTGTGTGCATGTATTTTTCCTCACCCAGGAGACATTTCAATATAACAAATCAACTCACTTTTTTAAACAAACCCCTTGATATTGTCACTACTTACAAATATCTTGGAATTACTTTGGATTCTCATTTGACTTATCGTGATCATGTACAAAACTTAACCACTAAGTTGAAACAGAAATTATACGTTTATTCAAAAATTAGATCCAATATGACATCTGTTTCAAATATCTATCTTCATGCCATTATTCTCTCAACCATGTCGTACTGTTTACCTGTTTGGTCTCTTACAACAAATGAAATCTTAGAACCCATAGTTAGGCTCTACAACAGGGCCTACAAAATTCATAAAAAAAACTTCCTGGTTGGACTCATCACTGTACAGTTCTTTCATTGTCTGATGCCTTGACTTTTCAGAATTATGTTTTGTATAGTGGTATTAATTTATATTTTCAGATCTTCCAAGGTGCCAATTATGGAACTCTCTGTGCATTCCTGCCCAAATCAAATTCTGGAAGTGGTCATTCAACTAGATCTGTTACAAAAAGACAACTGATATTACCAACTTTTAAAAACTGTTACGGCCAGAGGTCTTTCTTCTATGTTTATACTAAAGCATGGAATGACATTCCTCAAAACATAAAGTCCATTTCAAAACTACAGCCCTTTAAGAAGAATCTTGTCTGCCATCTGCTGGACACTTTTTGTGTAGACGTCCTATTTTGCAAATGCTGCCTTTTTGAAATTTGGTATGCTTGTTTGTCTTTGTGTCTATGGTGTATAATGATGTGATTGTGATGCTGTAATTCTGAGTGTTTTATGTGCTGCAGAACAGGAACCTGCTGTAAAACAGCAATTATGCTGAGTCAGGCTTGATTTTTATAATATTTTCCTGTTAAATAAATCAAATCAAAAATCAAATCAAGTTATAGCAGCTTTCCCTCTTAAATTGTGATTGGATGTTTGATGATTTCAGAGCTTTTACTGAAAAGCTTTGCATTTTTTTAACATTTTGAAATAACTCTTCTGAACTGCAATCTGTGCTACTTAAACATGAAATGTTTGAGCAGATTTCCAGCCTCTGACGTCCATGAGGCACTTGGCATTTAGGAGACAACCGAGGAGCAATCCTGCAGAGCCCTAAACTAATTTGGAGAATTACTGGATGGGCTTCCAGTAGAGTGGAGTAGGAAGTATTGTCTCATTGTGGTATAGGTCACCACTTTGGTAGCTCAGACAAAAGGCAGGGCTTAATGTCTTTTTAACAAAATTGGAAATCAAATYAGGCGCTAATGCCCGAGACGCAGACCGTGCTGAGGGATCTGACTCATTGGGACAAAGTGCCACCGGTAGTGTGACTGATGCGTTCTGTCTGTGGTTTTCCTGTGCAGTGTAATAACCCGAAGACCAAAGAGCCCAAGCTGACGGCAGCGGCAAGGATCGTGCCCGAGTGGGTCGAGTATGACGAGGAGATCAAAAAGCTGCTGAGGCACATCCAGGACGGGGCGGCACAAAAACAGACGCCCCCTCCCTCACGACACAAAAAAGGTTAAAGAACAGTAAACAAACCCAAAAAACATCTGCCTACAGTGGTTTACATTTAGATTTGTCAAACTGGAAGCTTTGTTTCCTGTGTGACTAACCTGATCCTCAGTCAGGTTGTTTATCTTTGTTAAAGTGCTCGTTTTCACTGTTTCTTTCCAACAGCAGACAAGGGGCGTGATGAACTTTAGAGGCTGCCAGGATCACGCTGAATGAGACGGAGGCAGCACCTTTTGCACACAGCCCACCTGTGAAGCTTGAAGACAGTTCCAGCTAAACATAGCCGCAAAGTGTTATCTCCTCAGCCAGAGGAAGAGGATGTGATATTTTCAGATCTCTGCTTCTTGCAGTCAGTAACATCTCACCAAATCAGCACACAAATTAATTGTTAACTAGCAGGCGAGCACTCGTGGTGCGCTCTGAGCTCTCAAGTCAGATTAGGGAGTTAAAGGGGAATTAGGAAAGCAGAAAAGGTGACATCAATTCACATTTTTAGGATGAACACTTGTATTGTTCAGGCAATTTTAGGCATTTTATTCAATGTTTTTATTTATTTTTTTGTCTGAAATACCAAATCAGAACTTTTTTATATAACAAACTGCACGAAGAAGGCAGTATGAGACTATCAGATGTTTAGTAAACGTCATCCCAAGCCAGGAAGCGATCATGCAACCTCCACACAAAGAGGTGGCCGCACTGACCACTGTGCTAACTTTTTAACATTTAAAGCCTTTTTTTTTGGAACAAACTATATTAAAGTTGAATCCAACATTTCTTGAAGAAATGCATAAAACCTGACCATCGCTTTTTGTCCTCTGGTTTATGAGATTTTTTATATCTGACAAACAGACAACAGAACAATGATCTTCTGCCATAAAAAAAGAAAATGTAATTTTGATGTTTGACAGATTTAAAAAATGCATTTCTATATATATATATTTATCATTAAATAGATAAAATATTTTGTTGACAAAGATGAAATCAGAGGTAAAGTYCATCTATCAGTATTTGATTTGGATTGCTTCGACATGAAAGCAAAGATGGGAAAATAAAAATCTTCATTTTCAATCCTTCTGTTTTTTTTTCATGGCTTGTAAGATTTTAACTTATTGCTTTTTTCTATAATATGTGAAATTGTCTTTTCCATTGTCTGATTTCTACAAAGATTCAGTGTTTTTCACTCAGGAATAAGAAGTGTTGCTGCTTGACTGTAGTTTTTCTGTCTTAAAGTCCATTTGAAAAAAATAAATTAAAGTTGGTGCAGGCAGGCTGCTCTCAGGGCACCTGTGTTTTACTGCGCTATGTCAACACTAAATGTTTATTACCATTTGATGGAGAAAACAGAAATAAATCTTTGCTACAAAAAATGCTGTCGGTGAATTCTCTCCTCAGCAGGACGTGAATGTATGAATCAAGCTTTATAAAAGTCTAAATCATCATGTACATAAATAGCTTTTTATTTACAGTTCAAAAAATCCATTCATATAAAAACAGTTATGTGGCTTGAACAGTTTTTATCTTGTGAACAGATGTGAGTATTTGGTGAAATATGGAACCAAATTAAACGTCAGAATTAACCAACTGATCCGCTGCTTCTCAAGGCAGAGGTTTGTCCGCCCCCCTCTGTCCCAGCTGAAAATGAAAGTCAGCGAATTAAAGTCACCATTTCCTCATTATGAACTGACATAAATGCCAGTGATCTCCCTTTTCAATAGAGAGGATAATAAAATTCTGCTCCAGTTCTGCTGGATTACAGCTCTTCTCAGTTGAAGTTGAACTTGAAGTTGAAGGGCCCAGAGCCAAACGGGTTGAAACCCTGGAAGCCCTGGAAGCCGCTGTGAAAGTGCTGATGGTGGTGACCCTGCTGGCTCTCTGGATCCATTGGATCTTCTCCGTGATCAAATTTGGTTCTCATTTCTGGAAGCCGTGCAGAAGAAAAGSGGTCATTATTCCCAAAAAACRTGTTTAACTTAGACTAAAAACAAAAAAATATATATCACGTTCTTCGTCTCAATGCTACAGCAGAGCCCTGTTAAAMAATAGCTGCGCTCTGTGGYATTTCCTGCATAGAAACAGTGTTTTAACACATCCTCTTGTAAACACTGACACACAACATGTATGACTGACTAAATGTGAAATAAATGCAGAATCAAAAGTAAAAAAAGTGAGTTTCACTCTGCTAAGTTGTGTTGAGTAGCTACCATCTTGAATTCTGAACTCTTCCACTTTGACAGGAAATCCYCACTGGAGGGGCATTTCACTTAATTTACAACTTGTAAGTRGGGAATTCCATCTTCCCAGWACAACTGGGCTGCAGAAAAAGTAGTTGGTGAAAATGCAGTACAATGGGGGTTTTACATGACTAATTATGTGAGCTGCAGGCTCCTTTTGAACCCTGTGTGCCTCCACCTGGTGACTGGATGTTGTTTTGTGGGTAAAATAACCAACATGCACTGTGGAAGATGTAGTTTATGATCAATGCTAGCTTTAAAACAGCATATGCCTATTTTATTTTAAAGACATTAATACATCTTTGAAGCTCTCGTGGACCACATAAAATGCTGTTGTAGGCCTAATTTGGCCCGCGAGCTTTCACACGCTGTAGATCATAATTTTTTTTCAATTTCTGAAATGACAGACTATATTAAAAAAATGCTGCTTTATTAACTTRTTTTCATTGTATAATTTTAGTTTTAAGTCGTAAGGTTTATTGTCAGGTAGGACTCATTAAGACATGCATATGAATTTTATTACTTTTATTCTTTTACTAAAAGATGCGCCGATTTTAAAACGTGTTTCTGTTGGGCAGCTTTGCTCTTGTTAAAAAGTTGGAGGCAGAGTAAAGATTTTAAAGGACTCCCGAGTTTGCAGCAGATTCTGAAAACCCTGACATTTACTGCAAGATGAGCCACGACTAACAACATCCAGACTCTGCAGAAGCCACTCCTTACCTGGATCAGTAAGGACCTCTTTAGCCTGAGCGATGTCTATAAACTTCTTCTCTGCTTTCTTTTTCTCTTCCGGATCCTGGAAGTTGTCCGGGTGCCACTGTTGGGCCAGTTTCCTGTAGGCTTTGATAATCTCCTTTTTCTGAGCAGTTCTGTAGCCACAAGGACAAAATTATCAGCACAATTAATAAAGATATCCTTAAAGACTTCAGATCCAGTAATGCTTCTGTTGGCTTAGATTTAGCTCTACAGTAGTGGCTTTGAACTGAAACGTGCAGTCAAGCTTTTAAAGAGCACTAAAAACTTCTAAAAAGCCCCCTGCCGACTAAAATCATCCCAATTCTACATGATACCTCTCAGACTCTGAATTCTCTTCAACAGCACAGAAAAACCACCCAAAAGTTCCCAAATGCAGACATCAGTTCCCACCTCTTTACTCCCAGGATCTTATAATAATCCCTCTTCTGTGACTGTTTGAGGAGTCGCTGAGCTTTCTCCAGGCCTTCTTTGATCTGATGGTCATTCTCGCTGTGTTTTGCGGCGCTCTCATAGTCTCTAATGGCTGAAAAGGAGAAAAAAAAAACATACAATTGAATATTAATGGGATTWGTTGTATTTACTTAGTAAAAACTGTTTTTGTAGGTAAGAAATCAACCAGTTTTAAGAGTTTTAAAAGTTTTTGCCACAGTGTCAGGGACAGAACCAGTCTGGTCAAAYTGTGTGGCTGAGTTTAAATAATGTAAAAAAAAAAAAAAGGTCGATGACAGCAGATGTGATGTTTGAAGCACTTAGAGCTCAGTTTTAAGTGCATGAGCACAAAGGGTTTAATAACTAAGTTCAATTAAGAGTTTGTCACGTTTCTTTAAAAACAGCTGATGAACCACAGTAATGCATGTTAACATAAGGAGAAAACAAATTATTGGAAATTACATTATTGTCTGGCTGGCACAGAGAGCCACAACCTCAGCTGATTTCAATATGCGGCAAAATAAATTACAATTATTGAATAGTTATGTCAGAGTTTTAAAAAAGTGCATAGATGAGGACCAATACACCAGTAAAWMMAAMMAAAARRWTTWAAAAWWCAATTATTCCCATGACATTTAAAGGTTTRAATGGTAAATGGACCCAAAAAGTTTGACAAGTTCTGTTTAAAGGCAGTAAAGAGTTTTTGTATAAGATGGAAAAAAAGACAGGAGAATTCAGAAGAGGATTGTTTCTTTAAACTACAAAACACTAGAACAWCATGTCTTCTGCTACCTCAACAATCATATTATGAAGGAACTACACAACTTTCTGAGATTCACCAGAATACAATAACACAAGATGTTTAGCAAATTGTTTTTTGTCTACAACTGGGGGTGTTCAAAATATACGAGTACAAGTAGCTCCTGGATATGGACAAAAAGAGATTTTTAAAGTGGRAGTGTTATGTATTTTCCTGGCACATAGTTCAATTCTATATCACAATCAACTGTTACATTCAGTTGTTATGAAAATGCTGTCTGTATCACAAATAAATTTGACTTTGCATCAAAGCCTTTCTAAATGATTTGAAATTGACCTCTGTGTCTTTAAGAACCCCTCTGATGCCCCTTTTGCTCCTTGCCCAAAAGTGCCCTTKTGAGCTAATGATTATTTTTATGCTTACAAAAAGGCAAAACTGGATGGTTTCTGCAATTAAAATATGCATTAATTAAAACATTTTATAAAAGAAATTACATTACAATGCTCCCAGTTACCTAGTTACCCCCGTGACGTGTGATAATTGCCCTAGAATCTGGTTATATGTGCTATTTTTTTACTTTGAGCACCTGCCCCTTTAGTGGTCTCTGCATGGCCCTGGTACAAATAGGCRGAGCTTTGTACCAGGAAGTGTTTCGACAGCTCCACATGGCTACCACAGGAGGTTCAAGGATTTCTCAAACATGCGTGAATGAGTCAAAACAACACTCTGTATGTTTTGGATGAAGGAATGATATTTTAACATGATATWAAACTCAGAAAAGAGATGGACATAGGTTCAGCTGAGCTCAGTGTGCAGAATGTGCCAATTAAACCAAAACTTCCTATATAAAAATGCATCGCTTTAATCCTGATGTGTTTTGACCAAAGCATATAGTTCAATAAAACTTTCAKAAATTGTGTAAAGTTGACTTTTAAAAACTCCCATCTTAACATAAAAACTGCCCTACATAACATGACCTGATTGGTGTCCTGATAGTTGAACCTGTCTTCATGCRGAGCTCCTCTCCTGCTGTGAACGTGCTCAGGAAGACGCTGCAGCAGCTGCGGGCTGTTTGGGTGCACACGTTTGGATGCTTTGAGGCTTGTTTACTCTGCGAGGCGTACCGAGGTGAATTAGAAACTCCCGTGTGCYCTGACAGTTTAAAAGCCCACACGAGGGCTGCCGTGTTCGTGCCACGCTGGTGACAACAGACTCTGCACAGCCAACACCTCCCGCTGCTGCAGGGATGATGGAACCTTCAGAATAACCCTTTGACTTTCAGATGATGGTGGTGTTAATTGAGATGTTTGGATTGTTTTTAAACAGCTCTGATAATTGACATTTTATTGGCAGGACGATATGGTGAAGTTGTGGCTGTCTGAAGAGGATAGAAACTAAAATACATAAGCACACAACCTTGATTCTTCACTTATTTTTATAGCCACCATTTTCTTTATGTGCACATTGACCTTTACAACCGACACTTATAGGACTTGTTGCTTGCCATAGAACTAAAACCTCACATTGTTCTCAAACTAAGTGGGTTTAAACCATGGAGCTATTTGGAACAGCAGGAGTGAGTCTTGATCATGTGATGTGCTGTAGCAGCTGCATCACTAACCAGCAAGAGTCTGGATTTACATTCCTGTAGTGTACATACTGACAAACTAGCAAACAATAAGGAGAATATTAACAAAAGTATTAATACTTGTGTATATAAACTATCTAGTGTTTAAACAAATGGCAGAAAGCAGTGTGTGTGTGTTATGGACTTACCAACTAAAAGAGAAACTGGAAAATGTGTCTCATTTCACAAGTAAGCAGATTTTATCTTWTTTACCTCAATGTGGATGTGATCTGACCAGAACTGAAAATAATAGTGTACCAGTTTAAAATAAAAAGAAGCTTATAAAGCTGATGTAACCATTGTTAATACTTGAATTTGGCTAGCAGATATTAGATAATAAATAATATATTTTATTACTAGTTGAAGCCATAATTATTCAAAGTTACTGACTGACTTCRGGTCTGGTTTAGATGGTTACTCATGATATTCCTTATATATCATATAACTGTTTTACATGATTGTTGAATGAAACCTACAGTAATTAATTATATTGATTTATAGTAAAAATATTACAGATTTTTTGAGACATCTACTATACTCTGTGTGGTCGCCATTTTTGCTCCTTCATGTCACAAATGCTAACATTGGACGAGATAGGCAGGGCTCAGTCTAGTGTYCTTTATGTCTATGACAGGTATAGTTATTTGAGTGTAGTTTCATTTTATTTTGAAATGATTAGAAATGAACAAAATGTAACTTTGCACTTGTCACTCAAATTACCAAAGGTGGCACGAAAAGCCAAACAAAATGAAAAACAATTTGTAAATTTGATTATTTTTTTGTTACTAAAGCAGAAGCAGCTCATTCAGTCAGATCATACTCAGTTCTGTCATTCCTTTTTTAAATTAAACACTATTTGTCGAAGCTGCAAAACTTACTTGAAATCTGAACAGAAGACGACTCACTTTTTGTTCTTTTAAATACTACTAATACTATTTTTATTTGTATAATAGTATTAGAACATTAAAGATTTATTTATATTTATTGGTAAATTTACAAGTTGGAACCAAAACAAAATAAAAACTAAAAAAAATTGTTTATAAAACTTAAACACTGACGTACTGTATGTATGCCTACATGAGCCCTTTTTATATTTGTGGGAAGTAAATAAAGCATACTCTTACAGGCTAATACATCGGTGTGGAGAAAAAAACATGAGTTTTCTGGATAGACTTACTCCAACCATCCTCTTAAATCTCAYTGTTTTCTGAATGATGTAACTATGTTTTATTACAATAAAAAACTTAACTTATTACTCAATATAGTAAACAGTAATATCTGTGTGAAGCTGCATATGTTTTTTTGGCCTCAAACTGATCAATATATTTTGCTCCTTGTATTGTTATATTTATCATAATTAACCATATCAGTTTAAGACTAATTGTCACCTATAAAACCCAATATTTGTCCRAACACAGATCAGAGGGATGGTTTTATGTTACATACAGATGAACAGATGAGRTTTGTGAGAATTTCGACCAATATACTCTTGTGTTTTGTGCAAAACAACAGCAAAACATCAGGTGAAGAATACAAACTAGTGCTGACATTTTTATTTTGGTGAAATGTCAACATCGTCTGGTGTTTGAGTCTAATCCACAGTCTCTCCACAAAGGCTTTGAGGACACAGCATGTGCTTCGTGCAGACGAGCATTTTCTTCCTTGTTGCTGAAGACAAATTCATTTGTAGAATATTCATTCTTTTACCTCCAATTCTAATTACACTTTAAGCAAAGTGCGATCAACATTTGTCTGTTTTTGGCTCATGGTAAATATGACGGCATCAATTTTCACATACAGACTTTCGCTGGGATTTTTCAGATGAATTATCTAAATGGATCTGCTAAAGAACTGAGTTTAATGAGGCAGAATGTAATTAGATGGCAGCAGCTCCCTGACTTTATATACAGCATCAATTCAAAYCTTACAACTAAAATATTATTATTGCCAAGTGTAGCAACCATTATTCTCATGAAGTTTCACTTAACTTTACACTCTTATGTTATAGTGACCCCTGGTGTTAAACACATGCAATGACACCATGACACCAACTGATACTTCAGGCTTYCTTTAAAAGACTAAAACCAAAAACTTTGCAGCTCTCTCTAATTTTTTCGTTTTTTCTTTTTCCTCTCTCAAAGAAAAAAAAACAAAATTTATAAAATAAGTTACCTGAAACAGATTTAAGGAATCAACTAAAACAACTTCTACCTGTAAAATGTTTCCTGTGCCTTCGTCAGCACAAGTCACAAAACAATCAGTTCACCTCCAGCTTTTATGTCAAAAAGCTGTGTATGCAGCTGCACACTAGATGTGTGTCCTGAATTGTTCTAAAAGAGTTTTCTGCTGTTCGTAGAGGAAATTTGGTGCCTCACATTACCTAGTATGAGAACGGGGGACAAGCAGTTCTCTCAAAATCTTTTTAAGACCTCAGTGTCAGTATTCTTATTTCTCTTTGAGCTCGCCTCAGATTTTTAGTTGTGCTGTAGGAAGCTGATTAGGAGGAGCTGCTGATTGTTCTGTGTTGATGCTGAAGCTCAGCTCCGGCCCGCAGCCTTACCTTCTTCATATAGTTCGTCTTGGACGTACGCCTCGGCCCGGTCCTTCAGCACGTTCACGTTCTCCGGGTCCGACTGGAGGACTTCACTGCACACCGAGACAGCTCTGCTCGCCTGCTGGTCCTAAACACAACCAAAAAAACAAAAATAAAACCACGCCGACTGCCTAGAAGTTCTCGCAAAACCACAGAGTATACATTTTGTGGCAGGGGTCTTACCTGTGTGAGTGCGTGGCAGATGCGCTCCTTGGCGAGGAGGAGGAACTGGGGCACGTTGGGCTCGGTCTTCATCACCGCCTCGTACTTCTTCACCGCTTCGTCGTACCTAAACAGCAGGCAGCAGGTAGGTGTTTTCACAGATTACTGCGCCCACAAATGTCACGCCGCTCGTTCTCACGGAGCAGTCTTGTGAAATGTGATGAGACATCCTTTCAACATGTGGATGCAACTGGCTGTCGGTACAAGCAGGAAGTAGGCGTGCTGCTAGATTTCCAAACACTTGTTCTGCAGCTGATGTAACCCTTGGTGTTCACACGGGATATTTATTTTTTTTACAGGAACAAAGTGACACATCTGAGCTTCGGTTTAAATAGGTTTYGACTTCAGCATCCAAAGTAAACATCAAAGTTACGATCTAAAACTGGTCCTCACACATCATTACTAGAACGCACCTCTTCTCCTGGATGAGTTCCTCTGCAGCCTGGATCTGCTTGTTGAGCTTCTTGACCTGCTTGTAATGGCTGAAACACTGTTTGTGGTCAGGATCCAGCTTCAGACACTCGCGCACYTCGCTGCAGGTCCCCGGAGGAGGTGGTAAAAGGTGAAAGCATTGATTATTTTCAGAATTCAAAGTGTGCGCTGCAGTGTTGACAGAAACACAAATCACAGCAGGCTGTTTGTAGTAAAAAGAATTGGAGACGTAAAGAAAGAAATCAGCAGATCTCACTTGAGTGACATCTCGTGGTCTCCGAGATGATAGTAGATGGTGCTGAGCTTGTAGAAGGCCTGCGTGTTGTCGTTCTTTAATTTGGACGCRGCTTTCAGGTCGCTGACGGCCTTCCCCATCTCGCCCATCTGAATGAAGCACTCTGCTCTCATCTCACGAGAGGTCACGTCCCAAACACATGTCTGCAGCAGGTARGTGAGAACCCATTACAAGCTGAGAAACAGCAGAGACAACATCCTGCCCGCAGGGGAATTACTGACGAGGTTGGCCTCGTACCTCGATGATGGTTTCGAGCTGAGCAGCAGCCGTCATGTAGTCCTTGCTGTTGAAGCTGCGATGAGCTTGAGCCACCAGCCGCTGAAGCTCATCAGACTTTGCCAGCTGACTCTGGGCYTCTCTCTCCTCTTTGTCGCTGGGGTTGGACTTGAGCTGGACATTTTTAAAGCAAGTCATTACTTCAAGTACATTTAGCTTTTCCTCTTAATCCTGAAAGGAGACATGTRATTTTTAAATCCTTCTTGTTGTGGTCTATAAAAAGTGGAACTGAAATGCTTTTGGTCTGAATTCCTACTTATTGTAACTCCACAAGCGCCTCTTTCACCCCTTCTGTGGTGTGTCTCAAACCAACTCGTTTTGAGGCTGTCTCTTTGCTGCATAAACTTTTTATTTACAAATTAATTTTAAAAAATGTCAACAGAGGACTTGTCCATCCAGCCTTAAATGTTGGAGCCAGAGTCTGACCCAGAGCCAGAGGATATTGAAGACCCCCAAACTGTAGTTGGTAAGTCCAGACCTTAGAGGTTCTATTGCAAATACTGTGACAGAATAGTTCAGAAAACATCATAGAAAATAGACACAACTGAGCAGGTTGAAAAATATGACCCAAACTGCATATAAAAATATCTATGCAGCACCATGAGAGACTAAATTCATCTTTTCTGCACTTCTAGAGAGAACATGTACACAATGAGCTGCACTTAACGACTAAAAAAAGTGGATTTTGCATGATATGGTCCCTGTACATCYTTTAAAAGGCACAGTGTGTAGGATTTGTTGTTTTCAGCGACATCTAGTGATTGAGTGGTTGAATCGTCCTCCCTGGTCCTCCCCCCACCCCCCGCTTCCAAACACAAAGGAGTTGCTACGGTGTCTCTCAGGTGTCAAAAACCTTTGATAATTCCAACCACGATGTCTACCAGCAGCTTCAGGGCTAGTGATGTTTCAAGTGGTAAGATTATGAGCTTTAATAAGTAAAATTATACCAGCTACAATGACAGACAACAAATATTACATTTATAGTATTACAACTAAAACCGTTTTTGACGCCGCCACCGCAGTTTGTCCTTCATGAGCCTTCGTAGACAAGATGGCGGTGCAAGATGGCAGCTGCCTGTAGTGGTGACCCRCGACCATGGAGATATAAACAGCTTTTTATAAGGTAGAAATAATAAAACAAGGTCTTTGTCTGCAATGATTAGACATGTTTTTTATTATTGTYATTAGTGATTATCTCAATTTCGGCTAAAAGAATTGATAAAATCCTACACACTGTGCCTTTAATTTTATGTTCTTTACAAAGGAAAAAAAAACACCCAACACAACTGATTAAAAATACCATTATTTTCCCCCTTTACAATAAGCTAGTCGATCTTTTAAAAATATCCCAGTCTGAAAATTGTAAYGTCTTATTTTAAGGCCATATTTCAGCGTTTTAAAATTTTTCACTGGGATTCAAAAATGTATTTACAATTATTTTCAATGTGTTCAATTTCTCTATTGAGGAACGAGAGAGTGTAGTGAAGTTATGGGAGCATTTGAAAAAATTCTGATCAAAAAGATTATATGAATAAGGCTCTTTAGGTTTTCTCAAAAAAAAAAAAATTTCAAGTGCTTATTGATTGCAACAAAAATGAATAAATCAGTCAAAACTAAATGTACAGCTAATTTCCCTCCCAAACGAAAACACAGAGCTTAATGTACTGCTTTTGTAAAGCAATGGAAAAAGCACTCTGCCTGAAGACAAACAAAAATAAATAAATAAATAAATAAAGTAGATGTAGACTGAAATCCACAGCAAACTAGAGGATCCTACTTTCACTAATACAGTACATTCATGTGTGAGCTTTTAGGTTTGCAAAGAGATTTCTTGTCTTCTGCCTCCTTACAGGAAAATTAATTACTTAAGAGTTCATTCTTATGATAGACGGCATCACCCATACAAAAGCAATCTCAGCTAATGACGTCTCCTTTACAAACGAAAAAAAAAAAAAGACCTGACTAGCCTGTAAGAGTTTCCTGCTAGCTCAGCTTAGGGACAAACATACAGTAAATGTGATGCATTAGATTAGGCCACAGCTGACTGCTGAAGCAGCGTGACCACAGACACCTTGGTCAGATCATAGGACATTAGAATATCACATTACAGACTGCCAAAGACTAAAACCAATGTAGACATTACTGTTCAAAAAAAATGTGAAAGATAAACGTAGCCTTTCCAGCTCTGTCTGTACAAAAAGCTCCTCTAAAAAGTAGCAGATATTCCAACCACATTTCAGGGTGATTTGAACTTTGTTCAGAATTCAATCTTTGATGTTTTTCACCAGTCGAATCCAGTTTGAATTGTTGTTTGTGTCTTGGAATGACATTGTTTCAAGGACTCAGCAGATTAAACAGTCTGACAACATTTTAGATAAAGATTCCTGTACAGGAAGTCTAACACTGGGACACGGTCCCAGCTGAAACTTAATTCTGGATTATTATCGCAGCAACCCAGAAGGTTAAACTGGACACACAAATCCAATCAATTTCCTGCATAACAATGTGTAGATATCTGTCACCTTTCGTCATCCCTCATCAATTATTATTAATGTACATTTGAAACAGTTCAGTGTCCAATCGGTTTTATTTTGATTTCACGCAAATGTTTTACCCTTTTCTTTAAAAGATGAGTTCCTTCTTTGCAATTTACCACTTTTAGCCAGCAAAAATCTAAATGCTAACTTGACATTCTCTAAAAATGGACCAGAATTAAAACAAACGAGAAAAATCCTATTGTATTTAGTTAGGTGGCAAAAATAAATAAAAAATAAAAAAATAATATAAAAATTTGTGTAGTTTGACCACAGAACCAAACCGACGCCTCCTGGTGAGCCTTTGAAAGCTACAGACGACACCACTTACCACTTTCTTGAAGTCGCTCTCTGCTTCGTCCAGTTTTCCTTGTTTCAGAAGCAGGTTTCCTCTCTGAAGACGTGCCTTTTGAGAGACGCAAAGAGCTTCATTTACATATCGATGCAAATACAGAGGTCTCAAAACAGCTGGCAGAACTGAGCAGTTTCTCAGCACATCTGTGCCTGCAGCTGAAGGTGAGCATGTGCGCACATTAGTGTCAAATTCACAATAGAAATCTGCAGAATAACACAAAACAGTGGCGACAATCTTTTATTTCAGTCTGAAGTTTAATAATTTAATTATTATTAT